TTATTCTATTCAAAATGACAAACTGTTCCTGTTATTTTTTTTAATTAATTTAAGCTTTTAAAATAATTAACTTTTTGACATTTTCTTAGCAAATTATCAGTCCCTATTGATAATATAAATATGTGAAAAGAAACATCTGTCCCTATAAGAGTTTCTATTACCAAATTAAAAGTAAAAATTTTTCTCATCACGATATAATTATATTTTATAATTAAACTCAAAATAGCTTATAAACAACTCTTATATTTTTTTCCCTTGCCAAACATCTTTTTAAATAGTAAATGATTTATATATTAATTTGTTATTTTATATCATTGAATACGTGTGGAAGGTGAATTAATAATGTTAATTATATGATCATTAATGGTGCTCTTTTTTGGGGGGGATCCTTAAATATTTTATTAAAGAGTTATAGTTTGACCACTTGTCTCCCCAAGGAAAAAAACAATGATGCTATGAACCAATAGGTAGCTGATGATGATCGATACTCCTCACACCGTCGGTCTTGGAGACTCAAACCCGATGCAAAATGTTTAGCTCTACAAGGAGTGAAGAAGGCACATGGAAAAAACAACACCCAAAGAATATTGAAAGCTCTTGTTCCTGTTCTGACTTTATGATTCAATGTATGTTTCATTATAAAACAAAAACACAAACAGAAGTACTCCTCAACTTGTCTCATTTGCTCTCTTCAACTTATATGTTACTAAAATCCAAAAACATGTATTGGTTTAGTATAGGAAACAGACCCACTAATAATAATCATACTAGCATTTAACACTTCCATTTTCGATAGTAATGTGCTGGGAAACAGTAGGACTTGGAACGAAAATCATTGAAGGAACAAGATAGAAGCATTTAATATTATTTTACATTGTTCTAGTATACTTGAAAATAAAGGTGGTCATGAATGAGATCAGTATCACTTGGCCTTTGAAATTTTTATTCAATACCTGGTCTTTAGGGTTAGGAGGTTCAGAAATTCAAAAAAATTTTAAATTTTTTTAAAAAATATATTCTAATGAAAGTTAAATAAGAAATATTTTTATAAATTAAATAATATCTCGAGTTGAGCTATACTGAATCTGAACTTAAAAATCATGTTGAAGGCTCAATTCATAGATAAGTCTATCTGAAAATTCATAATTGACATTTTTTATGTAAAATTTTTAGGTTAAATGCCATTCATTGTTCAAATCTTGTATTTTTATTTCACTTTAGTACCTAAATTTTGATGTGTTCCACTTAGGTCATTAATCTTTTAACATGACCACATTTTTTTTGCTTCGTTTATATTATAGCTAACATGGCTCAGCATCACGTGGATATTACTTTGGCATGCCATGTGGACACTTTTCTTAACTGATAACGAAAAGTGTGACAACAAAATCAAAATAAAATCATTTGAAAGGTTGAGGATCAAAATGGAACAAATCATAAGTTAAGGATTGAAAGTGGAAACAGGATAAAAGATTAAGGATTGTGGATAGAATTTACCCAAAACTTGTAGCTATGGTAAGAATTTAGGAAACGTTTAGCTGTGAATAAATTAATCATTGGTTTACCAACCTCTTTTAGTCTAAGTTAAGGTGTAATCGAGTCGAATTGAGTTGATATAGTGAGAAGTTTAAATTTAATTTCGGTTCTTAACTCAAGGTTCGATAATCGATTCGAATTTTATCGAATTTTATTTTTTTAATTCGAGTTCGATTTATGATCGAAATTGAGCTACTCGAACTCACTTTATTAAACTCGATTAATATGTTAAAATAAGCTCAATTCTTATATTTGATAAGAGTTTGATTATTTATGCTCGAACTCAAATTCAAGATATTTTATTAATTAAAATAATAAAAAAAATTTAAATATAAAAACTCGATTAGACTCGTAAGCTACTCGAGTCGGATATAAAAATACTTGAACTCGACTCGATCGATAAATCGAACTATTCGAGCTTGAGTTTGACTCGATAATAATAGAATTAAATTTAAATTTTATTTGAATTGAACTCGAGTAACTTACGAGTACTAATGTATAATTTACACTCGTAATCTAAGTGATAATAAATTTGATTCTCATTAAGTAAGGTTTTGATGAATGAAAAAAAAAAAGAAACATTAAAAGAGTTTGCTCTCTTTATGGGGTCAGATGAAATAATTGGAGTTTAAAGTGATTATCAAATAACTAGAGGATCCAAACTAAAAAAGAAAAAAAATCATGGATTCATCTTTTTCCATCTAAGCAAATTAAATCAAGGGTTAAAATCTTGTTACTTTTGTCCATGTATATATTTCTAGAATACATATATCACCAACAATGAAGTGTCTTAGTACATGCATGTTGGAGATTGCTAGTTGCGGAATTAAGTTAAGTTTGCCTTGAAATCCAATTTTTCTTAAACGTAAATGTTGATGTAAATCAAGAGAGAAATCAAGCTTCATTTTGAAACCATGATTTGGCAGCTATAAGTGATATCACATTTTGATGATATTTTTAATTACCCCCAAGCCTCGTCAAAGAAATTCATTAAAAAAGACACTGGCAAATTAACCAGTAATTAAATTAAGAGTCTCATTGATATTAAAGTCGACTGCAGAATTATAGGTCTTGAGTCATAGTTCAAAAGATTTAAAAAAAAAAAAATTAAGAGGCTTCTGTTAAACCGGACTTGGGGGGGGGGGGGGGGGGGGGTAACATTAACTAATTAATCTAATGAATCTGATTAATCATTGTTTAAACCATCTGTTATAGCCTATTATGACTAAGCCACACTTTGCAATTGTGATGTTTTATTCTAAGTCAAGTACTTCTCTGGTCAAAAAGCTACCATCAATTTTATATTAACAATAATTAACATTGCAAGGGAAGCTTTGCTCTGTGTGGTTGCCTACTTGCGTTGAGTTACAAGGTTTGGCCTTCAACGAATCTCTTCACACTAAACTTAAACAGTATAATTATTTTTAAAAATTAATAATCATTAAGTGAGATTTATATTCTAATAATTATCGTCTTTTCATTTATTTTTAAGTTAATAACTTTTTTATATTAACAAAAAAAAAAGTCAGGTTTGCTTTTTTTTTTTTTTTTTTAAGAAAAGGAGTGATTTGTGCTCTTCAAATCATAAAATCATACATCAATTATAAAGTCAGATACTGTTTTTGTAGTGTTAATTATATATAATATAATATAATTATATACATTTTGAATAATCAAATGAATCCATTGTGCAAAGCAAAGTGGTGTGCTATAGTCAATAGTCATTGGTGACGTGCGAGTAACCCAAAATTCATGGCCTGGGAAACATGACCATGGTTACTTTTTCAATTATGGAGCCTTGAAGAACAATCAAATCCCATGTTCTGATGTTCATGTGATCGCCAAACCATGTTCTTCAATCTTCACATGACCATTTCAAAGGACCTACAGTCATCTAGTTGCTTTAATTAAACTTCGACCATTTTATTCATTGGACTAAACTTGGGCTGCGCAACATTGGTTCATAGATCAGCATAAAGCCCAAGTACTTGTTTCCCTTTTAAGTTCGGGTTGTTTCAAGCATTTGAAAAAAATAAATTATAAGTATTAAAATTTAATTTTTAAATTTATTGAATATCATTTGTTAAAAGTAATTATATGTATTAATTAAGTAAAATTCTGGATCTTTTAAATATTTTGGATAAATGAAATATAACTTTATGAATTGAGAATATATATACTTGAATTAATTCATGTGCATGGATTATGACATGTTTGATATTTGCCACTATGAAATTTTTAATAATTATTAAAATAATAAAACAAATTATAATATTTTGATGACAATCCATTCACCATTGAGATATTCTCAACACATTCTATTTTAATTTTTTTTTGTTGGTCTAACTAATGATGTTGTTATTAAAGAACTTACCCAATTGTCGTTTTTAAATAGGATCATATGATGTATATTGAGTTTTTGTGAATGCAAGTTAAGCCAACTCCACAAAGATGAAAATAAAAAATTTAGTACCAAAACTAATTGGATTTTTTGGACTGCCCAATTTTGAAAAAGTCCTCCCCCCCCCCCCCCCCAAAAAAAAAAAAAAAAAAAAAGAAACATTATGGGTACTATATTGAACTCTAAAAGGCAATTTTCATGTTGTATTTAGATTTTTTTTTAAATTTAGCTACACATTAGATAGATGATAATGGTGATATTAAAAATATTAAAATTTTATAGTATGAAAAGCAACAATCTCAAAGGATTCTTAACTTATCCTTTTAATCATTGGATCATGACTTGATTGGCCAATACCAAAGAAAAAAAAAAAAAGAAAAAGAAAGACTTCTTAAAAGTCTTTTGGCATGGCATCTTATCTTAATGATGATCATAATCAAGTTAAGTTGCATTACTCATTGAGTATATATATATAAAAAAAAAACATTCACAAATTGTACATAATATGCATCATACTTTCTTTTGATAATAAATCAATAAATAAATATAAATTTTTATTGAATAGATTTATAATTAATAATTTTTTATATTTAAATTTAACAAAATTTAAAATTTAATCATGGAAATTAAAATTTTAATTTTCTATTATTAATAGACCTAAAACATTTAATTAACACCCATGCTTCATTATATAAAAAATGATTTAAATATTTTTAATGATAATTAGCATGAAATCTAATATAAATTATAATCATCAATGAGGAAAGCTATAACATCAGCCACTCCATTGGTAACAATAGTAAATTTCTCCCTTAATGGGAATCCAAAACCGAATAATTTATCACCAAACATGCCCCCAAATCTACAAATTTTACTCTAAAAAAGGTGCCAAAATCAACTTTGGTGTTTGGACTTCTTGGCCTTTTTTTTTTACCCTTTATTGTGGCCATTGGGTTTGAGCTACTTTGTAAGATAAAAGCAAGAGGCGTGGAAGATTGGAGAACCTAAATCCCAAACTCTTCCCTAAAAAAAGAAAGGAAAAAAAAAAAAAAACAAAAAACAAAAATTGTTATCTTATTCCCCAAACAAGTCCTTCTATAAAAACCCGGCCTGGCGCAATCAAAATTTCCACAACAATTATCTCTGTTTCGCATTTATTTACTTTTCCCTACATTTAAAAGAAACCCCTGAAATTATAAGCTGCTCAAAAAAAAAAAAAAAACCCAATTTTTGTAATGGCGAGACCTAATCAAGAAGCAATCGAGACTTTCATCATCATCACTGGGGCAACCGAAGCTGTTGCCATAGAAAAGCTTGAGGTGGTTTTTGGAAACTTTTTACTTAAATCAGAGTTTAATTTTATTTTTTTTAGCATGATTATCGAATTGATTTCTGATTATAGGTTAATAAATGATCGGATGATTGATTAATTTGTTAAAAATTAGGGATTCTCTTGCTTTGCATTGTTGATATACTTTGCTGATTATCGTATGATTCGTTTGTTGAAGATAATTGGAGTTTTATTGGTTGAAATTGGATTAGGGTTTTTGTCAATGACTATAATGAATGGGTTATTTCAAGGTTTGGATGAATTATCGAAAAGTTTCTTTTTTCTTTGCTTTCCAATTAGTAATCATATGCGTATGTAACTAATATCAGTAAAATAAACTGGCTTAAAGAAAAGAAAGAAATTGGATGGTTGACTGGAAATCGAAAAGGGGAAAAATGAAGGAAAAGATAAGGTTGCAAACGTTTCAGATTTGAAGTTGTGTTATTTTCATGGTTTTGGAGAAAATGTATACAATGTTGATCAGTGATAATGTCAAAGCATTTGTTGACCTCCATTCCATAGTCATGAAGCTCATGTAAAGGCACAGAGAAGCACATAAAACCTGAGGGGGCCCTTTAATGTGATTAGCAATTTCAAAGGCTTGCGATTTGTGTGTGTCTTTGGTGCTTCCTTTGCATTTGGACTCCTGAGTCCTGAGGGAGCCTACCCCTCATCCAATGTGATGGTTCAATTGAGGTTTAAATCTAACTATAAGACTCTGAGGTTCCCACGCATCACTTCATTTCGTGTGTAGAATTTTCTGAAGACAATTGCCTGATGATGAGATTGTTGGATAATGCCACTTATTATGATCAAATTAACTTCTTTTTGAGTTGCATTTTCTTTGAGTTAGTTTGGATTCTTTGCATCTGTTCCTAAAATAATGTCGGATACGTATATCTATCACTTATCTGCTAATTTTTTTGCTTGGAATCAGGAGCATGGTGGTGATCTCAATGCAGCTGTAAATGCTCATTTCAGCGAGGGAGATAGAAACACGTTTGTGAATTGTGCTATTCTTTTTAATGCTTAGTAATTCTTTGTTTATAGCTTTATTTATTTACTTTTTTTGTTTGTATTTCCAGCATACAGCCAACATCAACTGTAGTTCCTTTAGATGATGCCATGGATATAGATCATCCAACTGAAGTTGTGCCAAATAGGCCAGTCCTTCCATTTCTCCCAACATCTAGGACAATGAATCCATTGTCGCTTTTTGATCCAAGCTTTCATAGAAGTTTCTTGGATAGTGCTTCTGATTTTACAACTCGTGCACCATTGGTTACACATCCAAGAGAGGTGAGAGAGGTACCGATAGAGGCTAAAGATAGCAGTGAGCGATCTGATCATTCTGGTCATGCTCCTGCAATTGAGGATGTCTCTGAAACTGCACAAGCACATGGCCCAAATACCCATGAGACTGTTATAATTGATGAAGTGGATGAGGATTCAACTGTGCAACCAAATCAACAAAATGATAACTCTCATGACCTACATATTTCATCTGGTGCTCCTGCCTTTGATAATGACATCGAAGAACAAATGATTCGAGCTGCCATTGAGGCTTCCAAATGGGATGTTGAGGTAAGTTTTAACAAACAGATGCTTCCACTGTGATGCTATTCTAGTGCGCTTCCTTCTTGTAGTTGGTGTAAATGTTTGTCTCACAAATTGCCTTTTAATGTTTGTGCAGGAAAGTGATCCTGGGCCTCCGCACAATCAGTCTCACTTAGAGGAGGATGCTCAACTTGCAGAAGCAGTTTCATTATCCATGAAGGTTTGTTGTGCTGTAGTTTGTTCAGATCATATTTTGTTATAATGATCTCTTTGTTGTGTTTAACATGAACAAATCCAGACAGCGGAGCAAGAGAAGACATTGTGTGAGCAGGGTTGGTTGGCCGGGACATCAGAAGTGGAAGCTTCTAAACCAGCTGAGGTGCAGCTTGGGAACATGGCAGCCTCAAATGGGAGGTACATCTGATTTTCACTTGTTAAGCATTAGACATTGTGTTATTGTGTTCTGATTAGCCACCTGTAAGTGTGTGCCTTTTCTTTATTTTATGGCTGTACTTAATCGAGTTGGTGTAGGTTAATAGAAGGAAGCTCTTCCCTTCAAGATGAAGCTGAGGATGTGAAGGAGCAGCCTCTTAGGCACGGGTCCAGCCAGACGTCATCTGGCTCAGGAGAATCTGCAAAAGAAGTTGGAGTTATTGAGGCTAGTCCACCATCAAGTCCCAGACAGCAAGGCATAGGCAATCTCCCACCGAACAATGGAAACGCCTTCCCTTCTGATGAGGTTAATCCTTGCATAATTTCCACCAATGCCTAATGAGAGCATAAAAACAATACATTTTATTCCATAAACTCGGGACTTTCTCTTCTAACTAATGCCTTTAACCTTTGGTCTTTACTAAAATAAATTTTGGCTTGTGCTCTCTACTACATCATAGTGGGGAGGCATCTCTTCCGAGGAGCATGATGAGGCAGTCATGCTTGAGGCTGCAATGTTTGGTGGAATCCCTGAAAGTGGATATCGTTTTGCATATGCACCTCATCAGTTCATGCGACCTGAGGGCCCCTTTCCCTGGCGTACCCCTCATCCTCCATCACCCTCTTTGGCAGCTCAACGCATGATACGAGAACAGCAAGTCAGTTTTTTGTGCCCTGGCTGAAAGTTATAGGTTTCAAATTTTGGGCCTGAAGTAATGGTCTAACGGTTGCCTACTTACATCATGCATTTTCAGGATGATGAATATAATGCATCACTGCAAGCTGACAGAGAAAAAGAGTTGAAGGCAATTCAAGATGCTGAAGCTCGCCGTTTAGAGGAGGAAGCAGCTAGAAAAGCAGCTCTTGAAGAAGAACAACGAAAAGAGGAAGAGTTTCGCAGGAAAATGGAGGAGGAACAGGTATAATTATTAGTTATTGTTCTGATCATTGGTAAGCTTAACTGGAATGGTGTCGGTCCATTTATTAAGGGAAATGGTATATTCTATCTTGTGTCTTGATTTTCTGATATAAAGAATTAGATTCTGGCAATAAGTCAAAGGTAATTTATTTTCTTGATATTTGCTTTTCAAGTTTGTGTGCGATGATTAAATGTTACCAGTAAATTTGTACTGGACGCAAAACAAACTTGTAAATCTTGAACAACTATTGTCATTGTCATTGCCATCTACATTATTGCTATTCTACTTGCAGGATGTCTTACTGAAGATGATATAAATTGCATTTTATTATTCAGATAATTTAGGTTTTTCTCTACTAGAAAATGGAATTATTAATCTGTTTGTTGCTGTTATGCGATCAATATAACATTATGCACTTTTACTTCATTTTCGCGTTGGGAACATAATTTTATACACTGTAGATATCTTGTTTTCTTGGTTTTGAATTGCATCATCTGTGATTCTACTTGCAGGAATGTGCGAGACAATTAGCTTCTAAAGAAGCTTCTCTGCCTCAGGAGCCAGCAGCCGGGGAGGAAAATGCTGTAACCCTTCTAGTGAGAATGCCAGATGGCAGTCGCCGCAGCCGCCGGTTTCTCAAGTCTGACAGGCTGCAGGTAAATTTGCGAAGGAGAGAGTACTTCTGTCACTTTTCCGTGTGCATGCTTAATACTCAAACCTGATTTTGGTTTGCTTTGCAGTCTCTATATGACTTCATAGATATTGGTAGAGGAGTCAAGCCGGGCACATATAGATTGGTAAAATTTTCATCCCAAGCTTTTTTCCCAGTCCCATATTGATTTCGGCATGCTATCATTCTAGCTACATGCATGATTTTTTTTTTTCACTATTGGAGGAAAATATTCATTACTCGCCTTCCTGCAAGGAATATGCCATGTTAATTTTATCATTTCCACAGGTGAGGCCATACCCAAGGCGTGCTTTCAGTGATGGAGAGAGCAGTTTGACGCTGAATGAACTTGGCTTAACGAGCAAACAAGAAGCCCTATTTCTGGAGTTGATCTAATAACATCTAACTCCGACACGAATATTGTAGAAAATTAGTTTATTGAAATATGAAGAAATGAATGGAATTTCTTAAGGGTTTGTGTTTGGTTGAAATACATGAAATTTCAGGAGAGGATACAATTAATCTGACTGACAATGGTCAGTATTTGCTTTTTGTTGATGGGTTTCAATTGATCGAAGGGAATGTATTATATATATCTAGTGATTTATGATATTAAAAAGGTCAGAGTACTTCTCATGAAACAGATTAAATCACCTGTTCTGTGTCTGCTTTCATCAGTTCTCTGCTAGTTGGAAAAAATTAAAAAAAAAAAAAAACTTTTCTGGGCTGAGCTTAGCAGCGATGGAACAAAATTGTTTGTAAGCAAATTATCAGTAGAAAATCTTCATTAGGCATGCTAAATCCCCAATAAGTTGGATTTAATTAGGGCTAAAAAGTGAATACTCAGTAAAAAAAAAAAAAACTTGTCGATCTCTTAATTTTAGTTGTGAAATTTCGTGACTTAAACGATTACGTATTAAAAAAGAAATCTTCTCTTCTTACCAAAAAAAAAAAAAATCTTCTTTAGAATCCAAGATATTTTGTTACAGCATTGACATAATGACATTAGCCAAAGTCTGGGTATATCATTCCTCAGCTAAAAATACAAATCATTTCTAGCTCAACCGTTGAAATATACTTTAACTGCCATGTGGGTTCAGAATTTACCTTATCTAGGCATATTTTATCATTGCTTTTACCTGGGATGATTTACCAGGCTGTGTGATTCACATTTTCACTTTTCCCGTTTTTCTTCTAACCTGTCTTTACTTTTCCAGATCCTTCAGGTATTTGTGGGTCTTTACCAAACAAACGTAAAAAAAAAGACAGGTTACCTGCCCTGTCCTTGTCATCCACCGTCACGCAAGTTGGCAAATTGACCACAATGTCCCTACTCAGTCCAGCGTGGCAGAATATTACTGGTTACATAGTAGACAAAAAACCCATCAACCTTGACCAAATAAAACTAGGATTAAACCCTCTATGGCAGCTGAACATGCGCCACGTGTTTCCAATTATCTTAATATTGACAAGTTAAGGAAGTTAAAAAGATGGTAATTTTCATAAGGGGACAAAACAATAAAAATAATTGTGCTGTGACCCAACGGTCAAGTGAACGGGTATCAGGAGACGAGCACGTGCACACCACGTGAACTTCAAAACTCCCTTCAAATGAGATTTTTCCTTCAAAGAAAAAATGAAATTTAATTTTTCCCTCAAAAATTCACAGAGGTCCGTACACCAGTCCCTTCTCCCTCTAACGGTCATATTTCACCGACAACTCCAACGGTCACTAAGACTATTATTCTCCACCGTCAGATCCCAAAATCCAACGGCTAAACTAAAAATAAACTTTCTTATTCTTCTCGAACTACCCCTTTTCAACCTCTGCCCATCTCATTTTTTTCTCTTTCAAATGAATCCCAGGAACCAAAAAAAGAAAAAATTAAAAGAAAAGAAAAGCAATGATAGAGACGTGAAAGTGGTAGTAGTCACTAGACTCAGGTGTGTATAGTAGTATACTATAGTAGTAGCAGTAGTAGAAATAGTTAAAGAAGGCCATGAACCAAGAAAAATGGTAAAAGCTTTAAGCTTTACTAGTATTATTATATAGGAGTTATATAAAAACACAAACCTTTTCTGGTTTATGGTTTTTTTGGGTAGTGAGCTTTCGAGAGATATGTTTCATTGTTGGTTGATCGTTTTTCAGTTTGTTTTCATGCATGTTTAGTTGGTTTTCAAAGCTGGAGTTTTCGAGTTTGGCTTCAGTTTCAACTACCATGGAGTTGTTGCAAACCTCAAAAGCTGAGATGGGTGTCAAAGTTTTTCAGGATTTGAAGTACAGGTTTGAGAAAGCATGCGTTTTTGTCTCCAATATTGATGGTTTTTACACTGTTGATTATAGCCTTTGGGAATGAGTTGTATGTGAAAGTTTGGGAATCCGATGATTGTTTTCTGTTAGATGTTTTAGTTTAGTTCTTAACAATTCTTTGATTCTTTCCCGGGTGGGAATTTTTTTTTCTTTTGCATATTCTAATTAATTCTTTATTGCATATACACACATTGTTCATATAGGAACACCTGACCAAAAAAAGTTCTATTTTCAATATTCTTTACTGTGTTTCTGAATTTTTCATCGGATTCCTTTTTATTTTATTTCTTTTGGTTTCTTGAAAATTCACACACTCACTTAGAATTTGTCTATCTCTCTAGATTTGGTTTTTCCAAGTATACATGCAAACCTTCATATGAACACAGGATTTTATACATAAAAAAGAGAAAAAAAATTCATACATTGCATAGTTTCAAAACTTATAGAAACAAAGAGAGATAGGAAAGAAAATAGAGAAAAAGAACTGGGGGTGGGTGAATTGAGATTGAACTGAAAAAGAAACAAAAGAAAGAAAATAGGAAGGTTGTAGAGAAATGTTGGCTGGGTGTTCTAGTTCTACATTGCTGTCACCAAGGCATAGATTGAGGAGTGAAGTATCTGCACAGTTTCAAGCTTGCCATTTCCAGACTTCAATGAGCACACAGAGATTGGACTTGCCATGTAGTTTTTCTCGCAAGGACACTTCAAGGTCACAGCCTATTAGGCCTGTTGGCCTTTCGGTGGAGAAACCAATTGAATCCAAGACCAGCGGTTGTTCTCTCAAGCAGAATATCCGCCTGCCGCCATTGACTACTAGTGCACAAAATCCATTTGAAGGAAGGAGAGAGATTAAGGATGAGTTTTGGGAGAAAGGTAAAAGTTTGAAGAGGTTTGCCGAGCATGGTTTAATTGATGAGTCAGTCATTAACAGGGCAAAGAGGAAAAAGGGTAGCAGTGATAATGAGAATTCGGGTGATATTCATGAAGGTGGTGGCGATAATTTGAGTTTAAGCCAACTAGGTGGTGGAAATTTTTGGTTTCAACGAAGTTTCACAGGACAAAATGCTCCTCAAGTTCCTTTCTCTCTGAATTGTTCAGGGGATGAAGAAAGGGTGTGTTTTGTGCCTTTTGAAGTGATTTCACCGCCTTTGCCATTGTCTAACAATCCTTGGATCGAATCAGTAATAACTGAGATCACTGATGTCGGGGAAAAGGATGTTGAGACAATCCACAGGCCGGAAAAGGAAGCTTCAGGATCGAGTACTTCTTCAGAGAGTCATAGCTTGGGACTTAGGTTGAATGAGCAAGCCACGGAACCTGAAGTGGGTAATGGCTCGGGAAATCCTTACCCGCAGGAGGGTGCTAGTTTGGCGGCTTATGAGAAGGAGAACAACCATGGGGAGCATCAGGGGTTTGAGCTTGTCCACTTGCTTACAGCTTGTGTTGAAGCAATTGGATCAAAGAACATTGCTGCCATCAATCATTTTATAGCTAAGTTGGGGGATCTTGCTTCTCCAAGAGAAAGTGCTATAAGCCGTCTAACTGCTTACTATACTGAAGCTTTGGCTCTTCGAGTCACAAGGCTTTGGCCTCATATTTTTCACATCACAACTCCTCGAGAGCTTGATCGGGTAGTTGATGACAATGGTACTGCATTGAGGCTCTTGAATCAGGTAAGCCCAATTCCAAAATTTGTTCATTTCACATCAAATGAGATATTGTTGAGAGCCTTCGAGGGGAAAGACAGGGTTCACATTATAGATTTCGACATCAAGCAAGGGCTTCAGTGGCCTAGTTTTTTCCAGAGTTTAGTTTCAAGGGCTAATCCACCAAGCCATGTTAGAGTTACTGGAATTGGTGAGTCCAAACAAGAACTGAATGAAACGGGAGGCAGGCTCGCAGGATTTGCTGAGTCATTGAATTTGCCTTTCGAGTTCCATGCAGTTGTGGACAGGTTAGAAGATGTGAGGTTGTGGATGCTTCATGTAAAGGAGAAAGAGAGTGTAGCTGTGAATTGTGTGTTTCAAATGCACAAGACACTTTACGATGGAAATGGAGGAGCGCTCAGGGACTTTTTGGGACTTATCCGTAGCACAAACCCAACTGTAGTCATCATGGCAGAGCAAGAAGCTGAGCATAATGTCCTCAGCTTAGAAGCAAGAGTTACCAATTCATTGAGATACTACTCTGCCATATTTGACTCGATTGATTCTAGCCTTCCCTTGGAGAGCCCAGTTAGGATCAAAATAGAGGAGTTCTTTGCACGGGAAATCAGGAATATAATTGCTTGTGAAGGAAGCGACAGGTTCGAAAGGCATGAGAGTTTTGAGAAGTGGGGGACGTTGATGGAGCAAGGAGGGTTCAGATGCATGGGGATTAGTGAGAGGGAACTGCTTCAAAGTCAAATGCTGTTGAAGATGTACTCTTGTGAGAACTACAAAGTCAAGAAACAAGGACAGGACGGTTGGGCGCTTACTCTAAGTTGGTTAGATCAGCCACTTTACTCAGTCTCAGCTTGGACACCGATTGATGTTGCAGGCAGCTCATCCTCATTTTTTCAGCCTGGTTGATTGTTGCAGATTACTTTTTCTTCATACATGCCATCTCTTTTGATTCCATTCTTGCATACAGAAAGGGACACAATTCTTTGTAGGTAGAGAAATCTGTCATTATTCTTTCATTCTTTTGTTGCATTCTTTCATTCTAGTGCCAGAACCATTTGTATGAATAACAGTAGCTTCATACCGAGTCAGTTCTTTCCAGGACAGATTTATATTTCACTCTTTAGTATTGGAGTCAATTAATTTGGTGTTTATTATTTAATTCTTCATAGCAGTCATTTCGTTTGTGGAAGATTTTATCAGAATTATGAACGGTGTAGTTGGAAAATTGTCATCATATATAAAGGATTTCGTTGATTTGTTAGTATTCATTCTTCAAAATTTCTACTTTGAGTTGTCTTGGAAAATCATAATCGAAACTTGGAATCATAGCGGAGCAGTTAAAGCATTCTAAATTTCCATCTCATACTCGTACTCACATTCAAAATCACATATACTTCTGTAACTTGGAGTGAAATGTGTTTATGTTTCTGTATATATTGAACATACTGAGATTTCATATTTCACAATAAATCATTAGGACAAGGTTCTAGCACTCTTACTCTCCATTATTTGTGCATGAGAAGGAAGCTGATGATGATCGAGGATATGGGAGCTTGAACTTTCAGGAAAATCAGCCAGCCTATCATAACATCAGGGTCAGGGGAAAGATCAAAGTTAAGACTACAAATTACCCCTAAAGATTAATCAAATCTTGATAACCAAATAT